CTCTACCAGGCGCGACGCCTCGAGCTTTAAAGTCCTCTAGAAGCCATTGACGGACATAATTTGTGGCGAAATTAATGCGATAGGATCAGAAATAAACGCAGAATAAATTGGCATCGGTCTCAAAACATTATTTTACCTATGAAACCAGCCAGAGCCCGCAGAGTTTTAAATTCATCCCTAGGGTGTGCGCAGGGTGGCTTTTCTCATCTTGGACCTCTGCCAGGCCCGACGCATCGAGCTTTAAAGTCCTCTAGAAGCCATTGACGGACATAATTTGTGGTGAAATTGATACAATAGGATCAGAAATGAATGTAGAATAAGTTGGTACCTGTCTCATACCCCTATTTTGTATATGAAAGAAGTTAGAGCCCACCAAGTTTTAAATTCATCCCTAGGGTGTGCCAGGGTGTGCCCAGCTGACTGCGGGTCCAAGGATGAAAATTTTGTAGGCGTATCCTGCGCAACTTAGTCAAAAGCGAATTGCATAGGTAGTGTTTAATTTGCGCAAGCAGCGGCTCATCCGTTTTGCGTTGGCAGCAAACCACTAATCATAGTTGTTATGAATATCCAAAAGCATTTATTCAGAACACAAACCTGGTTTTTACAAACAGTTGAGGTGATCAAGGTCATTCAACGCATATTTGTTATTCACAGCTGGAAGTGTGCAAGGTTATTTTCTTTCGTTGTCAGTCAGGGTGAGTTGTTGGGTTTGTGCCTTGATTTCGCATCTTTTTTTCAGGGAAATTATGTATTATGTAGCAAACCTATAAGTTCTAACTGTCTATATGGCGCTGCTAGGTATATCTGGTAATCTGGCTGTTAATTGTTGAGCATGAGTTGAGCATTTTTCAAAGATGAAAGAATTCCAACTTACCTGGTTTTGGGGATGAAAATATTTTGCCCATTAGGTGTGATTTTCCACCCAAAATTCCGAAAAATGGAACACTGCTTGAGTATGAATGTTAATACAAAAGCAAGTACTGATCAGCCTAAAAACGAACTGATCCGCGAAGTAATAGAGCCGTACCTATGCCCAAACCACAATTCAAATAGCACCCATTGCATCAGTATTTTTGAGGCCAGAAAAGACGCCGGCAGAATATTTACACCAGCTCGAATGCGGGAGCATGGATACTTATCAGCTACGACGAGTGTTCACAAAATGTAATGTCTAGAAAACTGGTCAGGCATTGCACAAAAAAGTACCCCCGTGTACTTTACACAGATACTGAAACTCGGGCCATCAACATTCGGGCACAGACCAGTGAGCATGGTGACTGCGATCGCCCCTCAGGAAGCCGGTAACCGGCAGTCAGTTTATACTGCTAACAACAGAACATTTTGTTAACACGTGTCTCACCGCGCTCCTCCGAACAAAACGGATCAATAATGGATACAATTTAAACATACGCCGATTCGCTATATATCACAGCTCGAAACGTTGCAATCGAGCCATGCAAATAACAGTTCCTGGTGAAAAATTGTAGCGAACCAGCGCGACGTAGCGATGAGCGATCGGTCAGGCTAAACCAGTCTAAACTAAGCGTTTTATTCCTTTAAATGCAGTAAAATGCTTCCACAAAACACCCAATGAAAGACATTTTCCATCACTAATAACGTTAAACTGCCTTTAGAAGTCCATGATCATAGGTAATGTTCAGCTGGGTCCTGATACATCCAAAAGCCGATACCGCATTGTTTTCGCCACCGCGGGTGCAGTGAAACATAAAATAATTCAGCAGTTGGTCAGAATAGTTAATCGCGCTGCGTGCTTATCATTACTTGTATCGCCGGTTACGTTGCTCGGAAAACCGATGACTCAACTAAGAGATCAGTACTTGTAGAGTGAAAATACCCGAAAGAACGTAGGTCGTCCAAAGCAAACCGTTGAATAGGCTAGGAGTTTATTTAGTATGTTGTGCAGCACTGCATTAAACGACGTTTTCAACAGCTCTTTTAAGCAAATAATGATAAACAGATAATGGTACGTATCCCTCCCTCAATAAACATCAAATCTTATCGTCAGGAGGGCAAGCTTCGCGCAAATTCAGTCGCCATTGGACTCTTTAAGCTGTAGTATGGGATAAACGACAGGGAGCTCTTCCCAAACTGAAGCTACTCGATTAGAGGAAACCTGACAAGGCAGTGACCATATCCTACCTTAGCAACAGGGCCGGTCAGAGGAAAGATGCACACGAAATAACTGAAACAAACCACGCCATTACTGACAAGACAAGGAAAGTGGAAAAGCGATGGAACATCGCTTTAAACATATAAAAGGATTCCTTGAACAGCTTAGTGACTAAAAGTGCCGTAAGGTTGGGTTCTACTAGATAGTAGAGTGATATCAAATATCAGACAAACTACTCACTACTGCTATAACTCCTTAACACTGCACGTTACTTGAGAACCTTTAAGAGAAGAAGACTCCCCGCCGGTGTGACAATATGACCAGCTGGCAGCTATGCCGATTCAAATGTAGCCCAACGCCAAGTCTCACTGGTATAAGAACTGCAGCCCTGAACAGAAGTGGAACCAGACATCATTATCTCCACTGACATGCAGAATCTATCAAACCGAGAAGCAGTCATGTCCTTTTCCTCTTACCACATGCGTGCGGCGAGGAAACAATACGCTCACGCACCACAAAGTCCCGTTCGAAGTCAAACCGCTACCGAGCAGAAATAATTGCACCCTGCGAGCGCATGCCAGTTGGTATAAGTCGACAAGGGTTTACAACGGGACATCGAGAGCACGTGAGGTCACCAGACACTTGAGTATGTCGGAGCTCGTGGCTCCTTCAGACACCGCCGAGTACCCGGATTGACGTCAGAGTCGCCCTCACGTATCTGTGTGTGCCGTAGTCTAATCGTGAGATAGACGGGCCACAATACAGATACGGTGTAGTAGGATGTCTGCGTCGTCATGCGTTAGTCATATTCAAACACGTGCTTCTGACGCGGCTGTACGATTATATTTTTAATCAGTGTTGGCAAGTTTTCATCGCATTTATTCCTACATTATCTATCGAGGCTTTCAGCATTGATGCAGCAGATCATAAACGATAAAAAGTGGAAGACTTGAATCAGAAAAATGATCATAATTAATCCATATCAGAGATCCGTGGTAGCACCACCGTATCCATTTTCACAGCAGGGCAGCAACATAAATCCTGATCATTCTAACCATGATCAACCTTTCCGAAAGCATTTGTGAAGAGCCACGAAAATAAGACGGTCACTAAGATGCCACAAATTTAAAGCAGGTGCTGAGACAAAACACTGGCCAGTCCCATTCGAAATTTCAAACTCTATTCCCAAAACACCTCTCCAAAAACCCATAGCATTGCATCGGATCACAAACATCCAGCTTTACCAACCTGCAGATATCTACAAACAGATCACACCTTGACCACAACTGGCACGAAGCCGCCTCATCACCAAACCGGGAGCCGGTAAATCCAGAATCACCACCGCAATCAAAACTGCCGTGAAAGGCCCGGCCGGCCAATACCGTTCGGTAGCCGCACAGAGCCAATGTCGATGAGTCCTCGGTTTTTCAGTGCACCCGGCCGCACGGAAGGACGGGAGGGAGGGCGGGGGCAGCGGGGGCGGTGGGGGGGGGGAGGGGAGGAGAGGAGAGGGACGTACTGTCCGTCCGCGCGACATACCGCCGATATCCGGTAGTTGCACGCACGGTCAGGCACCGCCCTGGTCTGGGTGAGTAGCGGAGCCTGTTCTACGCCACCGGACAGGCAGTGAGTGGGCGGTCAGGTTAGTGATAGAGCAGGGGATACATAGAAGATAAGAGGAAAGCAGGAGAGTAATAGAGGGGTTAGGGAGAGAAAGCCGTATTTTCAACAAGGTCGAACTATTAAATTCTTTAACTATTTTATTCTAAATTCATCCTATCAGCTTAGTAAAAAAGCCCATCCGTTGTGAGGCACCACCATTCCGAACACTATCATCGTCCGTGGAGAGGAAGCGACCAGTATAGCACGCTGGACATTTCAACAGCCCACGGATGTGACGCCGATATCACAGCGTCACAGGACAGCACATTCGTCACAATACCCCGCTGTGCAGTGACGCCGCGCCGTCACGCGGAACAGGACGTGCCGACGCCGAGATAGCTGGCGCCTCATCCGGCGCCGTGCGGACGGTAATTCGCTGCCATCGGCGTTGCACGCCGGCCGATCGGAGCTCTCTGGGAGATGGTTGGAGATGGGTGGCCCGTATAACAGCACGCGAGAAGAGATGGGAGGGGGAGGGGAGGGCAAGGGGCGCCGCAGACATGGTCCGTTCTCAGACCGGGATTTTAGCTCCGCGGGATAAGGCGGAATTGAAAAAAAATGCGGTTCCGGAGAAGTGTTTGCCTGGTGGAAACAGAGCTGTCGGTGGTGGTGGTGCGATTATGGATGCTATTTTCGTCTTGATGGTCACCGGCGAATATGTGAAACATTCGAGCAACTTTCGGCAAATAAAAAGCTGTGGACATAAAATATTATTCTAGACAAATTTGCGATACCCAATTCGGTAAACATTACTTGATTTTCAAACACGTCAGACCTCAAAATCAGCCGAAACACACAGACACGCCCGTCCTTATCAACTCCTCCCTGGTTAAAATCAAACCGTTAACTTCATCATTTCAGCTACCAGAGCTCAGGGACCGCTCGCGTTTCGCCAGGTGCCGACCAATTGTCAGCCACCGCGCATCCATCTGAGCTCGAAAAGTGCACGCTCGATCATCACCCGTGAACACTGCGATCCCAGCTGCGCAATCTGCACATCCGTATCCAGGCCATGGTCAGATAGCAGCTCGAGGCCGCGTTGCATAATAAAGCATTAGGTCCTTTTTCACAACCCGGGAGCCCACATTTCCGCCACACGCACACGCGTGTCAGCAAGCGTAGGCGTAAGACACCTAAACGCAAAGCGGATTCGTTCCGATTGAGCAGATAATCTGAAGATTGGCTGTTGAAAAACAGGATTCTAGCGCCTGGACTGTATGTATTTCGGCACGTTCAGATCCGGCCAGTATCTAACAAGCAAGACATTCAATCTGACAGGATATCCTTCAAGCGGAATCGCACTTGCCACGTCCGGCGCCCGATCGTCAGCCCTCAGCGCAGGATACGACATCGACGCTCCACGGCCTGAACAGGCGAACAGTGCCGGGCTTGTAGAATCACTTCTAATGAACCAAATCAGCCGAATTTGAATTTGCAAAACTAGCATCAGTACAGGGTATACTACTGGCACAGCAACCACTTCATTCCTGCCCCGACCGGAGAAATCCATGCACGTTCGTTCTCGCGTGGTCCAGTGAGGACAAATCTACCTCTACCAACTTTCCCATGACTGCGGCGACCCGTGCTGCTCGCGTGCCGCCGCCGTGGACAGCGGTCACACTCAGTCTCTGACCCGGGCGGTCGCAGGGATCTACGTCCACCGGGCAGCGCACGGTGAACCACCACGGGCCACGGAAGAGGCGGCATGGCCCACCCTGGACCGTCGCCGCCTCCTCGAGCACGAGGGAAAACACACACCGCCGAGCGGCCGCCGCGCCCGGGCACCGCCGCTTACAGGAATCCCAGCGACAGGAACACTTCCCACCGACAACGGACAGGCGCAGGACTTTCCTGGAAGGTAACAAAAATGGCCTGTCGCCACTCACGGGATGGGGTGTCCCGCACCGCGCCGACGAGCGTACTACCCAGCGCCGCTCCAATCGGAGGCAGTGGGGCATCGAGCCCCATCGCGCCGCGTGCCAGGCACGTGGACGGCCAACGAAATCCCAGCGAGCTGCGGGCGTGACTTTCACATTGATATGGACTATAGGATGATCGGTATGAATGCAAGAAATACCGAATGAATTGGCGATATTCAGCTCTTATGATAGGATTGCTCCAATGCTTTTCAAACGCAATATGCTAGTTGCCTCAGTCCAAAGCTAGCAATGCATGTGTGCAATGTGCCACGGGCCCCATAGGCACACATCATTGTATGTTGTTTGTTCGAAAATACAGCACCAGCACCAGGGCGAACCGGTAAATCGGTCACTTTTTACGACAACCCACTGACATGCAAATAGACACTGGTACTCATACCAGCAGAGAATCTCACTAAACCAACAGTATTCCCGTTTCGAGTTCAGACAAAGCCACCTAAGGCAACCGACCTTCATCAAATAGAAATGGGCGCCAACTGTCATGAGCACAACGGACCCAGCACGCTGTATACAGTCGTCAACCAAACAGTTCCAGGAACAGACACCAGGCGGCAGCACCTGCTGATTGCCGAGCGGAGCGCAGGACGGCTGAGCCAGGGTATATTGAGGGCTGAGCTGCTAATGAAAGTGAATCACATTGATGACAGTCGGTTCCCGGAGCGTGGAATGGGATGCGCTACGGTACGCGGTAGGCTTTGTTTTGTTTTGACGAGGACGGGAGAAGAGGGCGTCAAGTCACGCTTCATTACATTCCAAACACACGCCGCCTGATGAGAGTGCTATCAGGAAGTCGTATCATTCACGTTTCCATTTCTTGGTACCACGTGCCCGGGTAGAAACATCACACCTTCAAAAACATTACTTACAATATATTGTAATTAATCAATCGATGAGCTAGTATCAAGAGATAGGTCCTAGCAATATCTACAGCTATAGCTGGTTGCTGGATGCTATTTGCCGGTTTCGCAATATTGCCGGTTTCGTTTGCAGCCACAAACAAACAGCACACTCCCATGTTGGGCGCAGTCGCAGACAAGATCAGATAAGAACGGACCGAGTCAGGCCAGCCAGCCAGCACTGAGCCCTCGCCGACGATAAGCTCCACGCCACCAGGTAAGGTAGTCCGCCACGTGTACGACCGAGCTTTGCCGACACCGCTCTACGGGAACACAGTCTACGGGAGCTCGCGGACGGTGCATGCAGACAGCATGCCACGGTTGCGAGCAGCGTCTACCGAGCCTGCTAACACTAGACGCAAGGTTCATGATTTTGATTTTTGATGGTGGATGGTTGAGATTAGGCCAGCCAATGCCGCATTGTAGAGCTGGGGTCCGTCTCATTTAATGATGTTCCGTCTTCCGTGGCTCAGTTAGTAGAACGAACTCCGAGTAGCGAGGACCCGGGTTAGAGAATCCCCGGCGATTAATATACGACAATGAGACGGGAATGGTCTGTGGTTGGTGGCATCAGTCGCAGCCAGTTGAATTCAGTAAATTGGGACCGACTCGTCTGACAGCGGGAGGCGAGCAAGCCTAACTCTGACATACCAAAATCTCCTGAAAACTTCCCCGAGCAGAGTCGGAATCAGCCGCCGTACGACAGAGGACCGGACCCGTGAAACAAACTCTTAGCATTAACCATGACTGAGGAATTCTGTCCACTCAATGGGTGTCATAAACTTCACTGCTGCAGTGTAGAGTTCAGTGGCCCTTTGGGCGGATCAGGCATGGCGCGGTGCAGATTTTGAATGGGGCAGTGAGTCCAGCTGTGATGATGTGCTGAATTCCTCAACTCTCTTGCTATGCTTCCCTTTGAGGTTTGGGATGGAGGGAGAGGGCACCCCTGGGCTACCAAAGCATTTAGCAACCTCTAAGAACTACAGGAATTCACAAAATCAAATCATGCAAGGAAACAGCACATCCTTCTAAGCTTGAAAAGCGAGACCACTCATCAATGCTTATGGTACTTTTGACACATAACATTTCTAAGTTACACTTGACTACCTGCTGAGTCAGGTAAGGTTAGCTTAGGTTTTGGAATTTATGCTTACAGCATAGGTACCTTTTTTTGGGGGGGGCAAGTGATCATGTGAACAACTTTCCAGGTCAATATATGAATTGTGAAAATATGGTGTGGTTCATATTCATTTTGAGCCCAGGATGAAAAAGGTAATTTTTACCTAGGTAGGTAGATAGGAAGGTACCTCATCAAGAGGCCTTAAAGTTAACATGCAAAACAGGCAAACTAAAACTGAACAAGTTGGCAGGTACTTACACACATCACTGATGTTGAGTCCAACTCCTCGCTGCTGTTGACCTGACGCCTCTGATGCTATCACAGCGGCTTCCATGGTGGTATGATTTGCAGAGTTTCACCTTGACCTAAACACAAAAATCAAAATCCCATGAAAAACAAAGGTAATAAATTTATCCTCAGCTATGTAGCAAAAAAGAGTATTAGTATATATTAGGTCCGAGTGGCGAACGGATTATGAAAAGCACATTATATGATGTATTTTGACCTCCTGATTTCATAGGCCTTGAGGCCTTGAGTGCGATCGCACTGAGCAAACCCAACCTGAGCCCCTTCCGTGATTCGGCAAAGTAAAGTATATTTAATCATATGCACTACCTAATCAAAACACAATGCACAGTTACGAATAACCAACGAATAACAACCTAATTCATCACCAATGGTCGTAAACGGTAAGGTAAGGTATTTTTGCTTACGGGCCACCACAGGAGGTCGTAAACTATCTACCCCTATAAAAATGAATTATACACTAATAACAAGGCCGTATAAGAGACTAATAAAATCAAAATACTACGCAGAGTCATCACAATAAAACACAGTTCACACCACACGCAGTTTTACAACAAGCATCTATATCGCCAAAAATGATTGCCACCCATTTCGCTCATTTCTATGCACTTATTGAAGAGTCGAATAGAAATCGAAAACATATTTTCTTGAAAGACATATTATTATTCACCCAAAATACTCTTTAAAATCATTTGTTTTGAAAAACAGGAGGGTGAGTTTTTTTGTGATGATGTCATTTCTGCTTTTTCATGGCTTTTTCACATTGAAAATGGAATGGAAAATTGCTGTGTGAATTGACCTTTTATTGTCATATTTGTTTAAGTCAGTGCAAAAACAATGAAAATAAATAATCTTGCCTTAGACATATGTTTTTGCTCTTGTTTTCTCAGAAATTGTTTTCCGTAAAATTTAACACCTATGCTGACAAATGTAAACCTGTCAATCAATGAAAATCGACCTAATATCACTGTTGATTGATGCAGCATTCATGCCAGCGCAAGGTCACTTTGTAATAATAAGCTGCATTTCACATAAAGTAAAGTGTTTTATTTTTGAAAAAAAAACACTAAGGAGCATATTTGATTCAGTTTTCGTAAATTTCAGCATAATCTCCGCTGAAAACAACTAGTCAAACATTACAAAGTTGTAAAAGGTTTTTGCTGTAAATTAGCTGTTTTTTGTAAGTTAGGCATTCCCAACGCTTATGTTTGAAATACGGCGCAAACAGTGCTAGGGGCCTGTTCCAGCGCCTCCAGAAACCTCCAGAAACCTCCAGAAAGCTCTAGAATCCTCCAGAGAGCGTTCCAGCGCCTCCAGAAAGCTCCAGAAAGCTCTCGCCAAAGCTCCAGAAACCTCCAGTAGCCTCCAGAGAGTTGAGAGGTCCAAATTTCTCTGGAGGCTCTGGTCTAGAACCATGGCGCACATGTGACAATCATGAATGTAAACAAAGAACTTTTGACTGAGAATTTTACAACTTGAATGTAAAGAAAATTACATTGCTATAATTTTGTTAATGTTTCTAAATAAAATTGAAAACAAATTTTGCGTTTCAAGAGAGAACAATTGCCATTCTTTTGGTATCTGTGATGCCAATCTCCAGAAATCTCCAGATTGCGTTCCAGCGCCTCCAGTAAAACCTCTGGTAGAGCCTCCAGTCAAGAATTTCTACTGGAGGCGCTGGAACAGGCCTATAGTGTCTTGGGCCCACCAGGGGGGCGACACGGCTATTCGCGCAATGTATTAATTTATGGGCCGCGCGGGGCCTCGCGATGACGCGGCTGCCGAGGCAACTGCTCAGCGCGCTAGGATACTTCTGGCGGGGCGGGGCGCTGAACGGTGTGCAATGAATGGGTTATGGTCGGGCCGACAGAGATGAGGTATTGAATTTGAATTGACATCAGCAATCGGGTGGGGAAGGAGAACGTTCCTAATCGAGCTTGGGTTGGGGAAAGCCGAAAATATCGCGATCGGCTCATAGCTCAGACAGGGCCGGGTGCCGTACCATGTGCTGTATACATATTTAGGCGGGCAGACAGAGATGAGTTATTGGATTTAAATTCACCTTACCATCGGTTTCTGGTGGGGTTTGAAAATGGTTTTAGTCAAGCTCGGAGTGGGGCAACCCACTGGCGGATCCAGGGGAAGGCATTTGGGGCAAACGTCTTCCCCCACATTGGCAGCGCCCGAAATCGCTTTTCGAGAATCAAAGAAAACTTCACAACTTTTCTGAGGAAATGTTGGTTAATCACACTGCACAGCAGTGCGCAAGGAATCGAAATCAGAGTTTTTTTTTTAATTAATTCCGAGAAACCTTTTTGGGGTAAGCCCCCGCAGTGTCCAAGACCGCTTCCTGGATCCGCCAGTTGTGAATAAGTCACGGTCGATACCGAGCTTCGGCGGGACCAGGCGCTGTATACGTTGTTCTTTCAATGAAGAGGTGGACAGAACAGACACCTAGCCCCACATCCTACTGCTATGCCCGTGCTTCTGTGGGTGAAGCACTAAAGCATCACGGAATCCCACAGGACCTGCGAGTCGACGAGGTGGGCCGCTTTGGCCGCCGGGTACTGCAGCTCCCTGGAGTTGCCTGGGACCGATGGCAAAACAACAGCTCCGGCGGTGCCCCTATGGGCCGTAGTAATTAGCGAATTCCTGTAATGTAGAGATCATATCCTCAATAATATCCATTACCATTTTATATTCCTAAACAGTATGACAGAACAATTATGCTTGCCTACGTTCAGGCATTACCTCTGATGGTCATACGTCCAGTACAACATGTGTTGTCTGTCAAACAACAATCGACGACGGGATCTCTTCTCATTATCAATGACGACGGTTGTCAATTCACCCACCCCGTTTCCCTAAAAATAGACGGTCAGATTCGGCCTGGGTCCTTACGACCCCTCTAGATTCGCCAGAGACGGGATCGGATCGCCGTTATTGCACCCGTCTTAGTGTCTTTAATACTATGACAGCTTCGACCACGGACTTCGGACGGGGTGATCGTTCCACGAATGTACGAACCATCCAGGCCTAGAGTGCATCGAGGTTTAAAAGAATGCAGTCTGTAGATCAATAAACATAACAATGGTGGTATACAACCACATTAAAATATCTCCCCGGCTCCCGCAACGTTCCAACGCCCCTCCGTTATGCATTCGCCTTGTGTGTCCGCCGAGCCGGCTTGCCTCCAATGACGTCATCGGCCGGCCGGCGGCGTTCAAGGTCAAACGGCTGGTGTCCTTACCTGGAGTTCTATAGCCTTGGGGCCCACCCCCCAAGAAGGCCCGGCCCACCGCACACGCACAACCAAGGCCATATAACGCACAACAACTGCGATTGTAGCTGAGTTCATCGAGCTCTAAGGATATATTGGGTTCATTGGTCCAATGCAAGGCGTCCAATATGTTTTCTACAGTGCAATTTAATTCAGTTTGATGCTCTTTGACTTACATTAATTGCGTCTAAACGGTTGCTAGCTTAGGACTTAAGATGGATGGAAATGGAGACCCAATTTCACTAGCAGCTCAAATATCTCATGCTAAGGATCTTCTAGGAAATGTTTGGCGACAGTCAAATGGTAAGTATGGTACTTATCTGCTGCATCAGCATAGACATTAATAAACTTAATCAGGGGTGGACAATTGTGCCGAGTTGGGGTAGCATGAGTTCCCAGTTCCACGTCGGCTGCGCCGGCTTGGCTTTGGAGCTGCACCAGCCGGCGGAGGTCAAAGTCACCACTAGGGCGGCTGCGGATTTGCTGCGCCCATGCAACCCCAACTCGGCATATTTCTCCACCCCTGAACTTAATTCAAATGCATTGATGCGTTTATTTTCCTATATTTTTTTTGTGTCTTGATACTGTTTGTACTTTGCTAATTATGGTATCAGTACAGATATTCAGATCCTAGTTCCTACCCATATATACCTCAATGGCATATATGACACAAATTGTTTCATTTTGTAGCATTAGTGAAGATTGCAATCCCCAGTATCGGTTATTGTAGCTATCATCGTATGACCCAGACTGGAAAAAATACATGTTATGCCGAAGCCCGAATATGTCCGGCGTAGTGGCAGGGTTGCGGCAAAAATTTCAGTGCATGTCCGGTGTATCTTTGTACATGCCGAATTCACTGCATGGCAGTGGCGGAATTTTTGGTGCAAGGCGGCCACAAATTTTTTTGGCGAAAGATGGTCACCGAATGTAGTTGGCACTCTGGTCAATCTAGCAGCAGATTCGCCCTGCGGACGGCTCTGGAGAGGTTTTCGGGACGAGACGTCCCTGCCCCGGTCGTTGCGTGCTTGAACTGGCGGCCTGCCCTGAGTCTACTCAGCGTACGAGCGGCCGCCCAGGTGAGGCCTCATGGCTCAAACCTCGGCGTGGAGATAGGTAGGTATGAAAGATCTTTTTGAACATCGCCGAGCGTCGCCAAGTAATACTGCAGTGGGTTCCTGCCCACTGCGGTATATCGAGGGGAATGACGGCCTGGCGAAACGAGCGACCGCCCTGCCCTCAAGCGCCCGCTCGCTGACCAGGGCGGTTCATTGTGCGGCCTCGTATCAATGGCGCGACAACTGGTCCGAGTCACTATTCAAGCCACTCCTCGGGAGCACGCCGCCGCTCCCTATCCCCGGAGAGGACCGAGAGGACGCCGTTTCGGTGCACCAGATGAAGGCGGGCCACTGGGACCGCTCGCTCTATGTATGTGCACCGAATCAGCTGTCTCCACTCTGCATTGTGCCAGCAGTGCCCAGATAAGCGGTGCCCCGCGGCGCTCTGCGCTGTGTGCCGAGAAGAGGCTGATGTGCCCGAGCGCGTGGTGCTCCGCTGCCCGGCCCTCACTGGCTCCCGCCAGCCTCAAACACACCGCTCCGCCAACTTTTGTGGCCCCGGAACTTCCGGCTCCGACCTTGTTTCATGGCACGACGCTACAGTGCTCTAAGCGTATCAAGGTATTGGGTTTCCGTGGAAAAAAACTTATTTAGCCCCGGAACGCCGTGTCTGGCTGATATAGCCCTGATCGGTAGATTTGCACGTGTGCTTTATGAAAAAGTGGCCTAATTTTGGCACAAATAGGCACCCAATTTTCAGCGCAAATCATGCAGAAATGTGAGCGCAAAATCGCTTGCGCCTAATTTCGGCGCAAGAGGGTCTCACGGGCGTCCGGCGTAGTGTATGGATATTTTCCAGTCTGGCATATGACCCATTTTGCCTTTTCTGTTTTCAGTCGGCTCTGACGCCTGGCCGCCGGCACTGCTGGACCGCATGAGGCGGCTCTGCCAGCAGCTGTCAGTCTCTCGAGACCAGGCTCTGGTCTCTGCCCTGCTGGAGGCCTCTGACGGCACAGCGCGCCTGCTGTCCATGCGCCCGCCGCCGCTGCAGACAGAGTGCCTGCTGCTGGCGACCAGAGTGCTGGCCGCTGCCTCTGCCGCTGAGCTGGACGTGGACGTGGAGCCGCTGCTGGACATCCTGCTGGCAGAGGTGTACTCCCCGCCGCCGCCGCTGGTCGACAAGCTGGCCGGCGCGGCGCGCGCGGCCGCGCTGCTCGGCGCCCTCGACCAGCTGCTGCAGTGTGACCACGAGGCGCACCGGGCGCGCGCCGGGGAGCTGCTCGGCGCCGGCCGGCTGTACATGTTCTTCGGGCTGGCCGGCTGGGAGGAGATGGCGCCTCGGCCGCTCTACCCGGTCCCGCAGACTCCGCACGACGCGCCCACCGCCGCGCCCGAGGCCGGACGCACCGAGAACGGGCGCGCCATCCGCTCCTCCACCGGCAAAAAGGTGCGCCGCAGAAAACCCAACGAGAGGAAGAGCATCGAGCTGCCGCCGGGCTCACACCCGGGCGAGGAGCCGGACGAGCGACCGCCGCGCTCGTGGCTGCTGGCAGAGTCCTCTGACTCGGACGCCGGCGGGCCGGACGGCCGCCTGCGCGCCGCCCAGGTGCGCGTCCGGCAGGCGGCGCTGGTGCTGCTCCACTCGGTGGTGCGCTTCAACGACAAGCGGCACATGCTGGGCTTCTGGCCGTCGCTGGTGCCGGACACGCCGCACGTGCCGGCCCGCACGCTTCTCACAGTGGTGCTCCAGGACCCGGCGGCGCGCTGCCGCCTCTGCGCCGCCTCTGTTCTCCGAGAGATGCTCGATTCGAGCCGGTTCTTCCTCACTGGTGTCGACGACCGTTCGTCGTCGGGGCCGGCCCCGTTCACCCCCTACTCAGTGACAATGGCCTGCATCGTCAAAGAGCTGCACCGCGGTCTGCTGCTGGCGGCGCTGTCCGAGAAGTCGCCCCTCACTCTGGGCTCGGTGCTGCGCGCGCTGGCCACGCTCGTGGCTAACGCGCCGTACCACCGACTACAGCCGGGCCTCCTGACTAAGGTCAGTCGGCACGTGCGGGCCTTCTTGGCGCACCGCGACTTTGACGTCAAGACGGCCGCGCTGTCAGTGCTTATCAACGTGGTGTCGATACACGAACCACTGCCCGAGGTGTTACAGCTGCTCCGCGCGCCGGCACTGGTCGACGAGGTACCCTCCGATGACCGGGGCACCGAGTCGTCCGCCGCCTCCGCCGACGAGGCGCCGCCCCGCACCGACGGCGGCGAGGAGCTCGAGTTTTATGACGACGAGTTTGATGACGATACCGGCGATGGTACCGGGGACGCTCCCGGCGGCGCGGCGCCCGGACAGACTCCGGTCCGGTCCTGGCTTTGGGTGCGCTGTCGAGGGTTTGTGCTGCGTAAACGGATCGCTCCGCTACCAGGCGCGGTGAGTCCGTTCTTCTACCCGACGCCGGTGCGCCTCCAGGCGATGAGGACGCTGTGCGCGCTCACCAAAAACTACCTAGCCGCCGTCTCCGACTGTCTGCCCGAGGTGAGCGCGCTCGTGGACGTCTGCATGCGTGATGAGGACGTGGCGGTGCGGCTGCACGGTGCCAGGCTGCTCGAGTGTGTGGGTGACGCGGCGGCTCCGTCCCCGGGCGCGGCGGGGTATGACCTCTGGATGGCGGCCCTGACCGGCCCTCTGCCGGCCATGTTCGCGCCTGACCAGAAGCGGTTCGTGCGCGCCGCCGCGTGTCACGCGCTGAGCACCATCGGCGCCGGCGTGTTCGAGCGGCTGCCGCGCGACAAGCAGCTACTCTGTGTGACGCTGGTGCTACCTCTGACAGCTGACGAGGAGGGCACGGTGCGGAGCGCCGCGGTGCGCGCCGCCGGCGTGTTTGTCCGACTGCCCAGTCTCGCCGAGGACCCCGACTATCTGCTACAGACGGCCGAGGCGGCGTGTGCGGCGGCCACCGCTCGCCACGAGCAGTTGCCGGTGCGCGTGAACGCCATCTGGACTCTGGCGAATCTGACGGACACGCTGGTGCAGCGGCCGCCCGACTGGCAGCCCCTCTCCATCACCGTGCTGGAGAGCATGACCACCGTGGCTCTGCGGGCCGCCGAGGACAGTGACAAGGTGAAGGTGAACGCAGTGCGCGCGCTGGGAAACCTGGTGCGCCACTTCTCGGCAGAGGCGTTGGCCGACCCGCGGGTGTCCAGTCTCATACCGCGCTGTGTGGACGCCCTGATACGCTGTATGACCACCGGTAACAGCCTCGTTCATATGAAGGTGCGCTGGAATGCGTGTCACGCGGCGAGTAACGTGTTCAAAAACGCCGCGCTGCCGTACGCGACAGCTCAGTGGCGACCGCCGCTGCTCGAGGCGCTCTGCAAACTGGCGAGCAACTACAAAAACTTCAAGGTGCGCATTAACGCGGCCCTGGCGCTCTCGGCACCGTCCAAGCGGGCGGTGTTCGGTGACCAGCTGCCGTACGCCTGGCGTCACCTGTTGGAGGCGCTGGAGACGGCGCAAAACATCACCGACTTCAACGAGTTCAAGCACCGCGACACGCTGCTGCGCCAGGTGTGTCTGACGCTGTGCCGCGTCGTCTCGCTGCTGGAGCCGGCCGACCTGGCCGAGGCGGCCGACGCGCTGGCCTCCCACCTGGACACGGTGTCGGCACACCTGGCGCGCCTGCCCAGCGCGCTGCTGCCCGAGCAGTCGGAGCCGCTGCTGGCCGCCCAGGACAACCTGCGGCTGCTCAAACAGCGGCGAGCCGGCGCACTCAGCGCCGAGCAGAGCCGGGCCGTCGAGCTGCTCTCCGGTGCGTTCGCGGCACCCAGCTAATGGGGCGACGTGTTTATCATTTAACGGCGAACTAACCCCTCTCTCATTGAACAGTCTGGTTGACCGACGTGTACTTATACCGGGTGTGCGTTGCGATAAGTGCTTTGGTGGCTCGTAACCATATCCGGGCCTAATCGATGTGTGTGATGTGTTGGCAGTGTTTATCATTCGTTTTTAGTGGCGGCAACGGGCGGCTACGCGACTGTTGTGATAACTGGTTGGGTGTCCAACCACACATGTGAGTTGTGATCAGTTATGACATTGGCCTGTAAGTGCGATGTGAGGACAAGAAATGTGTGTTTCATTTGAGTGCGTGAATGAATAATAGCTTCGAAAATAATCATATTTCGGTTCGTCTTTTGTGACTAGATCTGGAGGTGGGTGATGGGTAGGGTCGTGGTGGAACTGGTCGAACTGGGGAGGCAGGTAGGTACAATTGGTACAAGGACCAACCTGACCTAAGTTTGCCTACATTACCTTCTACAATTTCTGCTATGGCATTGTGTGACATATATGATTTACGGGAGATGTGAATGTCCCACGCTCACCCTGCCTGGTTGGTATTAGAGAAGGCATATCTTACATAGTTTTTCTAATCAAGATTCTTCAAAGATAGTTTTAATTTATTCCAGAAATATGCACAAGAATATGACGCTGGGTGGGTTCAATTGGGAAAAATCAAAAACTCGTAAAGAAGTAAACATATGGGATAAATTGATGAGCCGAAAAGAGAACATGGGCGGAAAATGTAATGCAGCAAGACATATTAGCAAGGCATATTAGTTAGAAAACATCCATACAGTGATCCGAAGAAACAAAAAGTGAGACTTGAGTAAAATTGCGTGAGCCTGTCAATAGTTAAATCTTCTGCTAGGAACATTCTGCTGGTTCTGCTATTGAACACGGGCATTAAAGGGACCCTCCCACCTTAACATTAGATTTGAGTTGAGATAGCCAAAATGGGGTCCCTGGCTCACAATTACCGGTTTCGGCACTCACAACATCGAGAAATGCCTTAAATCGGAAATATTGAATTTCAAAATTGCAGCATTTTGATTCAGAGGGGCTAATGCTTAGGAATACCCCTCTGAATGTGTGACGTCAGCGCAGATATCTAACGATTTTTAAATGTTTGACTAAAACGTTTTGTAGCACGCGCTATTTGCGCGCAACATCTGCCGCAAACGCCGCACTTCTAAAATAAAGTCGCTAGAAACAACGGAGATCCCAAAAAAGTAAACAAAAGTAAAAGTCTAATATCTTGAAAACCGGTGAATATTTTTCGGTGAAATTTGGTAGATATTCGTTTTCGCTCTTTCTGAACCGAGCGACATCACTTTCATGCCATTCCATAAACTTTTTTGAAGGTGGGAGGGTCCCTTTAAATCACAAATAAGGTGCGCTACAAATGTAAAATTTATCATTTGCGCTTGTTGTTTGTGTCTACTGTGCGCGCCCTAACTCTCCAACAACAACAACAACATTTGTGTCTACTGATACTTTTTTTCATAATTTGCATACGTTTAACGATTCTGCATGGTATTCAAGCCAGCCACTGAATAGCGAGATATTTAATGGCTAAATAAAGGTCATAAATCATAGGTATTGTCTTGCACAGGCTAGAACTGATTCACATCAACTGTCAACATCAACATAGGGGTAAACAAGCTAATTTAAGTATTAAAAATTGATTTATCAATTCCTAATGATACTGGATGCTGAGACTGGATTGGATAGATTATGAAATTCAGTTTTGAAATGTTCAGATTGATAGCTTTTTTGCTGTCAGCTTCAATAGTCTCGGGACTGCTCAAAATAAATGCTCGTAATCAGGTGAGTTCCTGGTGTTGGCATGCAATAATGATGGTCATGATTCATTGTGAATTTGTGGTTACACTTACAAGCTGGGTTCATGGTATCAGGGCCTCAAATCTTGGATCGGTTTCGTTTGATTGAGTTGGATGGATAATCGGTTTTGATGGTGGTCCACAAGTGGCAGAGCTGTAGGTAATTCAGAATAAATTATTTGGTAACATTTTCTGTATTATGTATAACATGGGCATTGGAAAGTGGAGGCACTGAGCTGCCACTCGCCCATAAACATCAATCACTTTTTGTGAACCCAGTGTGGAGCCAGAAATTTCAACTTCTTATAGTCATTTAATTTGTAATACTTACAGATGAATGCCATTTTCTGTAGCTTTTTGTCTGCTTTATCAATAATATTGCAATTTGTCATCAAACTGATAACAATAGCAAGATACACAGATAACTGTAGTACTACTGATACTAAATACTAACCTACTGTGGCTGCATGAAATTCATAACAGCATGATGTGACTCAAGTTCCTTGTTTCAGGGAGGAGAACTAATTGAAGAGACTCTCAGTGGCAATGTGACAGAAGACTTCACCACCCTGGAGTTCATCAAACCAGATGGCACTATCATCACACATCTGGTCGACTTCAAAAATGTTAGCTGAAATAATGTTCTTGGTGTTCTTTGACATGCTGGATATCCTATTCCTCAAGTATTGATGTCATTTGTCAATCTTTCAAGAAGTGTTAAATACCTAGCTGTTATTTAAACAAACACCTCTGAATCTGGGATCATTAGGCTCCAAGTTGCAACACTTCTTTTTTTTAATCAACGCTGAACTCTGATACCACAGTCCACAATAGTTGTAGTGTGTGGTTGGTGTAAAGTTTGGATGTCTTTGTTTGGAAATAGTATGCTAGTGTCTGCAAAGTCCAAGATCTAGAATTGGTTGAATAGTTATCTAGCTACATACGCTATTCTGAAGTGCCATCAATTTTCCTTCAAATCGTGCATTTGTATGTGATCTCCATCGGCCACTGACGGCCCCGCGCGCCTCCCGTCAGGAGGTGCAGATATTCCAGGCGCTGATTCTCGGCGATGAGGAGCGCGGGCAGAGTCAGTACCAGGTGATGTGCTTCGTCACGAAGGTGGACAAGGGCGACTACATCGCCTCAGACGCCATCTCAAAACTGAGACAGGTCGGTAACGTCTGTAATGGATCAGTAGTATTTCTTTTCGTTCGCGATGTTTGCACCTGGTTTATACGAGGTTTGTGGACACCACAACACGTCTCAAGGAATGTTATTGAATAAGTTAATGCATAGAATATCCGGCAATAATCGACGATACCTTCCTATCCTTAACATATGCTTGTTTTTGTTTCGAAAGTCACATCACATACCAGTGCTGCCGTAAAAAAAGAAAAAAAAATGTTCATCTCCAGCGAAACTTTAGCCGAAACACGCGGCTTGGCTGCCGGAACTCGTCTTGTAAGTATGTCATCGTGCCCCTCCGTCTTTTCAGAAAAACCCTCGGGCCGAGCGTCAGGCGGAGGACGAGCTGCCCGAGCTCAGTTACCAGATGGAGGTGCGGCTGCACCTGAACCGGTCGGCGGCCGTCTCGCCTCACGTGCGCCAGCTGTGCGGAGAGGCCGGTGGCGCCACCTACTCCCGCCACCAGGACATCCAGCACGTGGCCGCGCACAGAGGTCGGTCCGCGGCGGAGCGGGACAGGGAAGGGTCTGCACTGACGATACACTGAGAGTACGGTGTGGTGCTATGTGCAAATAGGATCTTAATATCAACATCAACATCAATATCGGTGCTTTCTATCTTAGTATGGCAGGATCTAGGGTCATCATTAGAACTAACCCTCGCTTAGCCACGAGGGGGTGGGGAGCAGGGCTGCGGAGTCGGAGTCGGAGTCGGAGTCGGTCGGAGTCGACAGTTGTGACCGGAGTCGGAGTCGGAGTCGATTTTAGAAACCCGAGCCGGAGTCGGAGTCGGAGTCACCGAAAATCTGTCGACTCCGCAACCCTGCTAGGTCTGCGGAGTCGGAGTCGGGAGTTAGAGTCGGTCGGAGTCGACAATTCTGCCCGGAGTCGGAGTCGGAGCTGGTTTTTGAAAGCCGGAGTCGGAGTCGCCGAAAATCCATCGACTCCGCAGCCCTGGTGGGGAGTAACAGTGTACTCGTAGTAGGGGCGGATTCAGTCCGCGTCTCTTCTGCACTTGGATTTACATGTACTGGAAGGAAAGCGTATTAGCATGGTCATGGACAGCCGCTGGTTAAACAAGTGTTCGCAAACTGTGAGGGCGGGGTGCGGTGGTGCTATATTTTAAATGATCGTATTTTTTAATCTGTACAACAACTGCACCCTCAGTCCTTAACCGCCCGGCTAGCTCAGTCGGTAGAGCATGGGACTCTTAATCCCAGGGTCGTGGGTTCGAGCCCCACGTTGGGCGATTCTTTTCAATTTTTCACCTCTCATGTAATTCTCGCCAGCTCAGGCTCCCTGTACTATCTGCCATCTGGTTCTGACTGTCCGCAGCGGCGGATCTGGACGCGCCGTCGCTGGACCAGCTGGAGCGGGCGCTGTCGCCCCTGCCGCCGGCCACCTCGGAGTCCCGCTGCAGCTCCGTCTCCTCGCTGGCCGAGCCGTGCCGGTGTCGCTACCACCTCTGTATCAGCTGGTACCCGTGCAGCCTCAAATACTGCAAGGGCCGCGATGCGGACGGACAGACGGTCAGCTACCGCTGCGGCATCCGCACCTGCCGGCGCTGCCACGTGTTCGACTACAGTGTGACGCGCAAGCAGCTCTGTCTGTGGGACGAGGAGCCGCGCGATGCCGTCAACCTGATGTCGATCGACGACGAAGAGGACGTATGAGCCGCGGCTGTGGCTGTAGGCGCAGAGCCTACTGTAACACTCCTCGGGACTAGAACGGAATGAGGCTGATTGAGTCTGAAGGGCTGGGCAGGATTGACGATTCAGTGAGGAATGATGCGGCCTCGGTGTAGCGTTACGTGATGGTTCCTCTCCGCATGGCCCACGGCAGCTGGGAGGGCCTGTGAGACAGCTTTAGTGGAGGATATCGCAACTGGCCTGAGTGATGAGTGCCGGCTAACGTTGTGCGTCGGTCTGCCAAGATAATGCGAACGATTTAAATGATTGTTGTTTTGTGTATTAACGATTTAGTTGGTTGCAATGGGGTATGCGCGATATACTAATACTAACGGTCATATAGGAATGTGTGGGGCTCAGATAAGAGTGCTGGCCTACAGAAGATCTCAGTATATACTCTACATGTAGGGCGTTGTGCATCAGCCAAACTGCACGTCAGGATTTTACAGAGCGACCCAATGAATGCGTGTCGATTCCCACATGTGATCCGAAAATGGGCTTATTTTCACCTTAATTATGTTCAGTGTTCATTGGTAGGATGAGTGTGATATGCACGAGCGACCGAATGGCAGATTGGAGATCGTTTTTGTAACTGAAGCCGCCTTAACACGTTTTATACACGCGTGCAGTGAGCCGGTCGGGCTCACTGACCGCTGACTTTGGTATAGGATCGGTGAAAGTCAAAGTAGTGATAATATTCACTGTAATTACGAAATACACTTCATAAACGAGCTGAATGTGTCACTTTAAAAAAGAAACCTAAGTTCTTTAATCAACTTAGTTTAGATGTTAGAGCTTAGAGGTTTTGACGATATTTTTCCATTCCAATTTCAATTATTTTTATAGTAATGTTTTCCTTAAACATAATTCAAACCACTCGGGCATATCGTATCCGATGTTTATCACCTTGTACTTGTGTGCGTTTCCAAACAGTTGATAGGCTCTGGCTGCTTTTTCAATAGAGGCGTTCGTAGTTTTCTGACCAAGACAATATGGTAACTCAACGTGTTAGTCATGCTGGTGGGATCCACGGCTTCACAGCCGGCATCGGCTGCCAGCCCGGAGCTGCGTTGCCAATTTCTATCCTCTCCTCCCCCTCCCCTCCCAACTCTGTCGCCAGCTTCGGGATTCAAAAGCAGTCGCTTTTTATTAGCAACGTGTCATGCGGCACAGTGTAGTTGCAGGCGTTACTACTAGCGCCATCTAATGAGAATATATCATACTATGCGGTACAGCATAAATGCAGGCGCTTACCACCAGCGCTATCTATTGAACAAATACAGACCATGCGGCACAGCATAAATGCAGGCGCTTCAGAGCTCGTTTGCTGCAATTCCTAATCCATGTTTACTGCTTTAGACTTCGTCATCACTCACTGGCTGAAGCAAGCAATCACACTACGCTGGGGTCACGAATCACGATGGTCACAAAAGGCGCCAGAAGACCGGGAACGATTTTCAAGTTGGGGGAGGGGGGGCGAGTCTAAAATAGGTACCTGACATTATGCATATGAAACAGTGGCGTAGCTAGGGATCTAAGGGGACACGTACCCCCGCCCCCATCGGTTTCAAAGGGATCCTCGGGTCCGAGAGGCCCTGCGACGCTATTTGACCGCTGAGGGTTAACGATGGCCATATTTCGACTCAGAAGGGCCCCATGGGGCTCGCTAGAGCACCTCATGGGCCCTGAATAACCACACCAAGATCTCCATAAGGGCCCACGCCGGCTTCTGAGGGCCTCTTGCAGCTTTTAAGGGCCCCTCGGTGGTCTCCAAAGGCCCGTTACTGGCCTCTGATAGTTCTTACCGGCCTATGAGGGGCCAGTTCTAGGGGCATTTCCCACCTGTGATGGTTCCACACTTATTTTGCTGAGGGCCTCATAACGGCAACTGTGGGGGCCCTCATCGGCGCCTTTTGAGGGCTCACACCGGTGTCTCTGAGGGTTTCACACCCCCAACTCTGAGTGTCTACACCAGTGCATATTAACCCTCGCCCGTATTGGTGTTTTTCCAACCGCGAACGTATAAGGGGGGGGGGGTCCGTTGGACTCCCCCCTTGCCGTTTCGCCCCTGATCGAGCTAGAGCTTCGCGGAAAAAACGAGCGTGTTGCCCGTGACGAAAGGGAGCCGATGATACCCACTTTTAAGGTCCTAGGTCATTGGTTGACCTTGCAGGTCAGGTCAATGACCCAAAAGTCGGGAAAATCGGGACCTGTTAGAACGTCGTAAAGTGTGGCTGCTATGGGGTTTTTCGGGGTGCTGATCACGAATATCATGTTAGTTTTGATCACAGATGATGTCTTCATGTATTTAGTCCAGGTCGGGTCAGGTCAGGTCAGGTCAACCAGTAGGGGTCCTACCGGGTAGGTATTCCTAGTAGGTGTCAACCGCCTCTGACAGCTTCGTAACATGTTACGAAGGCACCAAAACTACTTCGTAAATGTTCATATGGTTGCTAAATTCGAATTCAGCTCCAAAAACTGGCCTAGAAACATGTAAAACTCGAAAAAGTGAACCGAGGTCATCAAAAGTCAATGACCTGACCTGACCTTCAGGTGACCTTGACCCACCCTAATGCATGGGGGCAACACCATATCACATGTTTCAACGCTTGAAATCACGAAAAGACTGCAAACGCGCCGCTAATGCGAGCCGACACGCCGAATCGCGATTCTGGCCAAACATGGTCTCGAAAAGTAGGTCACAGGTCAAAGGTCATTTGGGTCAGGGTCATGAAATTTCCAGGGTAGGTGTAAAATTGAATAACGCGAGGGTGCTGAAAGTTTCGTCGCGATCAACCGCTTTTTACGCGAGTTATTCGCGAAAAACCATGGGGGTCCGTTCGAACCCCCCCCCCCCCCTATACGGGCGAGGTTAAAGTTAAACGCAAGTTAAGTTAAACGCACACCAGTGCTCTATACAAAAAGTAACAAGCCCCGAGTGCGCCTGTGGCTACACACAAGAAAACACAAAACACTTCATCCTTCACTGCCCACACTACGCACTGACGAGGTCCACACTCTTTGCACAAGTATCCACATTCCACACACCTCAACATTGATTTCAACAACCAATCAGACACCATGAAATTAGACACACTTCTACACGGACACAACACGACAAAGCAAAACGCACCTCAGGTTCTCCTTGCCTTTCAATCCTTCCTCAAAAACACCTCCAGACTGATACCTATAGCCCCGTCTCGGTGGACTGGCGCCGGCCCGCTATCACCGCTTATCAATGCCAACTGTCGCGGCAGCCGACCTGACTCTCCGCGGCCGTGGATTGGACCATATTCATTTATTCTGTTTACGTTACCAGGTGGTGGTGCCTCGATTTAAGCATCAGCTTTTGCACCACCATGACCTGGACTATTTGCTTATTTCCATTTTATGTTTAATAAATGTGTTTTGTTGTTGTTGTTGAGGGTTAAAGCCCTATATCGGCGGCTCTGAGGATCCAACAGTCAACACCTTTGCATCTAAAGGCCACCAACTGGTGAGTTGTTGAGGGCCCCACACCGTTGACTCTGAGGGCCCAACCGGCGTCTGACAGTACCATGCCGGTCTCCAAAGGACCCCACGGAACTTCTTCTGCCGGCCTAAGGGCCCCTTGCCGGTCACTGAGAACCCCCTGCCGGCTTGTAGAGGGTTCGCATCAGCAGCTCTAAAGGCGCCACATCCGTCTGTAACGGCACCACATCAGCGTCTATGATGACCCACAGCAACGCCTGTAAGGACCCTCACCGGCGCCTCTGAGAGAATTACACTAGCACTTCTGAGCGCCCGCACCGGCACCTGCATGACGGCCCCACACCAGTGCCTCTAAAGGCCCATTACCGGCGGCTCTGAGGGCCCTACGCCATTAGCGTCGCCACAGGGGGGGGGGGGGGCAAGCGGGGCAGCTTCCCCCCCCCAACCTCGGACCGGGCACCCCCCTGAGATCGATACAGATCCGATGAGATTTTGGAGTCGGGGAAAAAATGGGGGTACCTTTTTGAGAATGCCTGTGAGGTCAGACTCGGTTGGAGCGTGCAGTTCAAACCAGAGTCTGACTCGCAGTCGCCAAAATCTTCAAGACTCTGAGTCCAGATTCGGAAATGTCAATGCTGTGATTCATTCCATGTTCCTAGTTCGTTTTTTATTACATTTTACAGCTGATTTTCATAAGTTTTGGAGTGCTGACATAATTTTCGTTCAAAGCGTGAAACGAAGTCTTCGGGGCCTTTCTCAACTCTCGTCAAATGTCTGCGACAGGCTCAAGTACCGTACAAGTGTCGCAGGGCTCATGAGCTTGCTTTAAACAAAGGCTCCTAAGGAGCTCCACTGAGCCCTAACGAAGCTTTTAGAGGGCCCAAACCGGCCTCTGAAAGTCCCACTGGTGTCCATGTTCTCTGAGGGCCCAAGCCCATACAGGGATATCTGAGCCTTCGAACATTTCTGAGAACCTTAACTGGCCTCTGATAGTTCAGCCAAACTTTTGAGGCGACAGACTTTGCTAACCCCAAGCCGGCATCTGAGGGGTCACAGCTCACGTGTCCCTCTGAGGTCCGCAACATGTGTTTATTATGTCCCTACGTATAGGGTCCTTAGGGATTCGACACAGATTCGATGTAAAATTCGATGTATATATCAAGGAGTGCGTAAACCAAAAATGAGCCTGATCGGACTTGTCAGCCGGCGGTCAAAGCCTAAATTGTGAACAAGCAAAAATGCCGATAATTTTTACTTTGACCTGACCTTTAATGTCATCGATGACCTCGAGGTCAATGAAAATAGGTTTCGCACGACAGTTTTTCCAGGACTATCAGATACCGTTTGAATTTTGACGATCGGCTCAGTAGTTTCGGAGATAGGAGGGGGCTCTGGAGACCCCCCCCCCCTCAGTCACTCGCGTTATGGAAAATACCCCAGTCATGCGCGGGTTAACCTTTTTGAAGGTGGGAGGGCCCGTTAATTGACGTCAGGATATGAAAACGATGTTTAACAACTCTTTGGCGATCCTGCAACAAGGGCGCCTGAAGGTTGGTGATTGCTCAATTGGATGGATCAGTCGCAACGTGCCGCCGGATGCCGATTTTCGCTTTGCGTCGTGTGTGCCAATGCTGTGCTACAGTCGCCAACAGGGTCTCGGTGGCCTCAACCAGAGTAAAGTAAGAAAAGCCAGTGCTGAGGCCTATAAAACCTCCCAGGTTTGCCAACAGGGTGCTGGAAGTGAAAGAGAGATATTCTTGGAGTTCCTCAGTGGCAAGGTCGAATGTCAAAACCATCCCGACCGCACACCTGTCAGAGTCTAGAGTGTCCTTCATCTTTTGAAGTCTGTAGTTCGCTTGATGGCATGCCGGCAGACACTCGCAGCTCTTCAAGTTGATTAAAACGTCTGACGGCAAATAAATGTGTGCGTTCTTTGGTAATGGGCAGTTCATTTGATACTCGTTACTGACATTCTGCTTTGGCCACCCATCCTGCAATAGATCAGCACCGCAAATCCAGGGATGAACTTGATTACAGCTACTTTTAAGGCAGATCTGAGAGATGTTTTCTTGACGCTTCAGAAAACTTCCTTTGCACATTGATAGCGTTGAGCCGGTATATTTCTGGACGGGTCGTTTGCACATGGGCAGATGGTCGACGGGTCCACGAATCTCCGGCAGGTAGGCGTCTGCTGCCACCATGTGGGGCAGCCGGCAGCCGATGTGCGCCGCCAGCCGCCGCCACAGACACTCCTTGAGACA